CATCATCATCATCACCATCATCATCACCATTATCATTATCATCATTATTGATTGTTGTGATGCATAGTACTGCTCTTACCTTGGACCTACTGTAGTTTATTTTTCATTAGTTCAAAGAGAGCCGCTGGTTGGCAAAACACTATTTATGTTATGAGTTCTCAAGAACTGCTGGAAACGGCGCATCAAATMTTACAAGAGGTTAGACTAACTTATATTGCAAACTTCAAAAAGAAAAGGAGAAAGAGGGCATGAAATATTGGAAAAAAGAAAGCAAAATGAAAATAATGAAAGAAAATGAAAGAAAAAAATTTAAATGAAAATTGGTCTGCCAGAGATACTTGGCCAACGACTAGCCGTATCATGGTGTAAAACCAATAAACCACTCAACTGGTCACTCAACTGCGATATCGTTGTCGGGTTCAAAAATAGAACATAAAAGCTGAGACCGAAATGGTACATGGGAAGTAACGTCAATTAGATGTATCTAGTGATACAACTCGTGAAATGTTCATAAATGTTTCACTGACAGAAAGCAAGGACGTCTTTTAACACAAGTTTCATATCGACTGTGTATCTCAAATGAATACAACAGTGTAATTACTTAGTTTCCCAGAATACCTTTCGGTCTCAGCTTCTATACATTCTGTGTTTTGAACCAATAACGATTTGGCGATTGAGTGTGTATTGAGAGTGTATTAAATTGATTGATTAGTTAATTTTAAAAATATAGTGCTTTTTTCATAATGATAGCTTTATTTCTCTTAAAGCATAGCCAAAGTAATAAAGATAAAACTGAAGACAAGAAAGATGAATCAGAAGTATTTTCCCAAGAAACAAAAACACCAAAAGATATTTTATCAATAGAAACAAGGTATGGCCTTAAATGACTTTGTTCACTCAAATTATCATTAAGCTATTCCGAGTTTGAGGGAAACCTGGGTCGAGTTGGTATTGCAGTGCATTATGKGGCTGTTTAGGAGAATTTTGCAAGATGGCGGCTATTTCGTTCCCTGAAAAGGCCCCAAATTGCAGTGCAGTCCCAACACGAAACGGTTTTTGCTCAACTTCGGAATGGCTAATATACTATGTTTGATATCTTAAAATTCAGACTTGATTGTGAGGCTTTAGTCTTATGGTACTTGATGTATGCACTTACACGTGGATTATGGAAAACTTTTATTGTTAGGCAGAAAAGAATATTCCATTTATTTATTTATTTATTTATTT